AGTGTGTGGACAGACCCATTGGCACAGGCATATAAAATGAAACACCTAGTCATGCGGTCCGGTTTACAAACATTTGTAAAAGAATGAGCTCAGTGGCAGACCATGATCAGTAACAGAGCAGGGCCGTTGTGTGCTGGGGCACATACTGTGTAAAACTCACCATTGCAGAGTTACTAACTCCCTCTGGCATTAACCGCAGCACAAAATCTGTGCACGGGGAGCTTCATGGAATGGGCATCCATGGTCAAGCAGCTGCATGCAAGCCTCACATCACTAAGTGCAATGCCAAGTGTCGGGTGGTGTGGTGTAAAGCACATCACCACTGGACCCAGGAGCAGTGGAAACGTGTTCTGTGGAGTGATGAATCATGCTTCGCTGTCTGACCAATCTGATGCGTCTGTGTTCGGCAGATGCCAGGAGAACGTTACCTGCCTGACTGCATTGTGCCAACTGTAAAGTTTGGTGGAGGTGGGATAATTGTATGGGGTTGTTTTTCAGGGGTTGGGCTAGGCCCCTTAGTTCCAGTGAAGGGAACTCTTATTCTTATATGTATTCGGAATGGGATGTCATAAAAGTTCCCGTAGATTTAATGGCCAGGTGTCCCAACACTTTTGTCTATGTTGTGTGTGTTTGTGTGTGTGTGTTTGTGTGTTAAAAACAGAGAGCAAGATTGGATGTGGATGTGCAAAAACTCATTCCAGTGTACAAATAGCAAATAAAACTTAATTCCATAAAAAGTCAATTTTTCATTGATTCTACTACTTAGTATTACACCTCACTAGTTGACCTACAGTACGATATTTGCTTCTGGCTAGGCGTCCCCTGCCTTGGCCTATAGACCATCACTCTCTCTCTCCCGAATACACCAGGGCCCTGGAGCGTCTCATGCCCGTTACCTCACGGGAGGCGGTGAAGGAAAGCGGGATGAGCCCGCTACACTCGGCAGCAGCTGGCGGGCACCCACAGTGCTTGGAGATACTGCTCAAAGCGGGCTATGATGTCAACTTCATGCTGCACCCACGTGTGCGGCGTAACTATGATGATGAGCGCCGCTCAGCCCTCTTCTTTGCTGTCTCCAACGACGACCTACGCTCCACACGGCTGCTCCTGGAGGCTGGTGCCATGCCCAACCAAGACCCTGTCAAGTGCCTGCAGGTGGCGCTGCGGCTCGGCAACTACGAGCTCATCAACCTCCTGCTGCGTTATGGCGCCAATGTCAACTACTACTCACGCATCAACGCCATGCACTTTCCCTCCGCCCTGCAATACGCCCTCAAGGACGAGGTCTTGCTCCGCATGCTGCTCAACTATGGCTACGATGCCCAGCGCTGCTTCGACTGCCCCTATGGCCAGGACTCTCACGTGCCCCATGACTACGAGGGTTGGACTCCCACTGTCATTAAGGACACCATGGTAGGGCAGGAGTCCCAATATATTAATTTTCCTGGGCAACTCAGCCTTGCTCATTAAGAAGCCATAAGAACTCTTGTTGCCTACAGGCCATAATTTGGAATCTGATGTAGATGGTAAGATCGACCTTTCATATGTAAATGCCTGTTGCTGGGTTAAAATGTCCCCAGTGACACACTGATTAAAGTGAAGTGCGTATGGGAGAGGGCATTTGAGTTTATTAGTTGTCTTTGGAGAGGTGGCCCTTCTGGGTGATGGCAGGGTTCCTCTGCCTTTCATCCCACTGCCAAAACACCTACTGTTGACCAGAGACCTACGATCTGTAGAGCAAGAAAAAGCAGGTAGCGCTAGCTCACACATGAGAGAAGGTATGTAGTTTGTGCTCACCCCTTCTGAGCAGGTCTGGGTACAGTGTAGCGAGGGAACGTGGGATTAGATGGTCATTCCAAATCAGTTGAAAATGTTGGAAAAATCCTCCTAGCGAGCTCTGACAAAGGGTCTGTGTGTCACCATTGCCTTCTCCACAGTTCTGTGAAGTCATTACAGTCTACTGGCTGAGGGACATCTCCGGCTTTGTGGTGCGTATCCTCTTGGACTATGTTGACCATGTCCAGTTCTGCTCTAAGCTGAAAGCTGCCCTGATGGAACAGAAGCAATGGCCGGACATATGCAGGATTCAAGGTGAGCTGGACAGCTGCTGGACATAGATAGATAGACCCTTCTTGTACACATGCTCCATGTTTTTCCTCCACTCAAGTCAGTTGTCTAAGTGCACCCCAAGGTACTTATAGGTTTTCACCATCTGGAGTAACAGGGACAATGGGGGCTTGACCTTCACCACGATCGCCTTCATCTTAATAAGAAAGAAGATGAACCCAGGTTGCAAGAACAGGAATCTTGCATGATAGTACTACACTCTCTACACCTCAGGATGCTCAAAGAACTCCCGAGGGTTGTAGACTATCAGTCTGCTAAGCTTGGGGAAAACACTAAAATCCCCCAAAGGGTCTCTGCAGTTATATTTTTCATATAAGGTGCTTTATTTATTTGCACAAGTGTGTGATTTTGGCTCAAAGAGCACGGTTAGTCAGCATTCAGCACCCCTAGAGCAGTTAGGGTTAAGGGCATCGCTCAAGTGAAAAAGAATTATTTGATTATTCTGTTGGGCACAAGATACAAATGCATGACCTTCCAAACAAGGTCACACATCTATAACCCACTGAACTACACCATAATCGTTCTAGAACAGTGTTTCCCACCTCAATACTCGAGGACCCCCAGGCAGTCTACGTCTTCACTCCCTCCCATCTCGATATCAGGCAGGGAGGGGTAAATAATGTGGACCGGCCGGGGGTCACCAAAGACAGGGCTGAGAAACACTGCTTCAGAACACTTTCCACCACAGCAGCATGATGACACGCGCCCATCATGAAGTCCACAGACAGCATGGAGTGTCTCGAAGCTGCCATGCTGAAGCACGGGTGTCTCTCCTTGCAGAAAACACACGCTGTCTGAAGCACCTGTGCCGTCTGAAGATCCGGGACTGCCTGGGAAAGCTGCGGCTGAGGGCGCCCATTTTCATGAACTTCCTGCCTCTGCCCAAGAGCCTCAAGGACTATGTCCGGTACCAGGAGTACGACCTGTATGGCCTGGGAACTCTGAAGGATCTGAGGTGATGAGGGAGCTTGCCTGATTGCCCAATCTGACTCCGCTGCATGTCCATGGGAAGGTGGGTTATACCCACTACCTTCACTGCTGCCAGTATCAAACATAGCTGAAGGTGGCTGAGGACACGCCCATCAAAGCTCATCTCTTCAAAGCCTCCCAAACGCTTTATGTCAGCATTGGAAACGAGATTTGAAGTCTTGTAACAGTTACAGAATATTTTTCATTTAACGTAGGTGTAGCCGTTATATGTTAACAAGTCCTTCAAGGCCATTTTTGTTATTACTGATTTGCTTTATTTAGAAAAGACAACTAACATATTCACTTTAACATAATACATTAGGTGCAGGCCATTTACTATCATTCAGTGTAATTTTCATCTCACTACATTTTATGTACTTTAAATTTAGGCATGCCATACTAGGCGAGTGACACTAATTAGGCAAGAGACACTAATTTGTTTTGAGACCAGACATATGTAGAAATGTATCAGTTTTATTTAACAGAAGTTGTGTACTGATTCAAACTAATAAATAATTCCAATTCCAATGAAAGCCCGTGTCCTTGTTGCTCTGTTCCATTTCATGTTATCCATGGTTGATAACCACAGACCCTTTTAAGAGTATAAGTAATACAATTCTTTGTAGTACAGTACTTAGTTCTATCAGCAGCATCAAACATAACGTGATATATCTTTGTCTGACTGTATGAACTCATGTAGATAACATAGAAATGTAACTGGTGGGTACTTGTTTTTTATTTAAAAATGAAAGTAATTTGTCCAACTGTTAAAAATATTAAATATATATATATCCATCCATCCATTATCTATACCCAGCATCTTCAGGTGAGAGGTGGGGTACACCCTGGGCAGGTCACCAGTCCACCACAGGGCCAACACAGACAAACAGCCGCACCCATGGGCAATTTAGAGTAGCCAGTTGACCTAATCTGCATGTCTTTGGACCAAAGCAGTACTCCTCCAATAACATCGAATGTGTTTAATATATATATTTATATATATAAGGTGATATATATATATATCGTTGCTAAATAATTTTCAAATGTGAATAATCCCAGAGTTCCTAATTATCATCATTAGGTGCCCTCAAGTTGGTGTTGACTCCTGCAGGTGGCCATATAGATAGGGTTCCTCCAGAACATTCTGTTTTCTGCCTTGGTGTTTAGGCACCAAAGTTCAAAACCATTGATCCTCTGTTTCTTCTTTATCCAGCTGTCATCCACTTTGACTTCTTTGACTCATTTCTCCCAATCTTTTTTCTTCTTGAACATTTTTTTTTAATTCCATCCACATTTCCTTTGGCTCTCTATTAAATGGGTTCAGTACTATAAATTGATTTCTAATGTCTTTTTTGAAAGTAGTGAATATATTCTGCAGCTCATTTCTTGGATGTCTTGCGGCCTTGTGTTTCCTTTTCAGCTTCACTTCGAGCTTGCACATGAATAGTTCATCATCTGTTACACAATATGGTCCAGGCCACTTCTTTGTTATATGAGTTGAGGTCTTCCTTTGTCTGGCACTGAACATTATTTAATTTCTGTGAAATCCATCTGGTGACGCAATGTATTGCACAGTATTGGCAATAAAGAAGTTGTTGGATTCACAAAAGCTTATTAATCACTTCATTTATGTTCCCATGTCGATACTAGCTAACTGTATTGATAAAACTACAGCTTCTAATGACTATAAAGATTTTCGTGTTACCTCAGATTATTGTATGCAAACTAACGTAGGCGTCTAGAAAGCGCCACCACATCCCAACCTCCATTAATCCGATACTACACGTGATGGAATGGAGCTCATTTAAGAGCCAAAATGGATTCAGTTTCCTTTCTTTAAATGGCATATGTTTAAACTAATCGTGTGACGAAAATAGACCACGAACGTCTAATTTTCTCCTATCACAAGCAAGCAGGCGGGACATCCGTATGTTGGGAAGGGCTGGGTTGTAGTGTTGTGGATCCGTGGGAGCTGTTGCATTTTGCAATTATCGGTCATTGTTATTGTATTGTTTTAATTTTGTGGCTACGTTCGCTAGCTGGTGATCTTGAAGGACATGCCTGGCATTGACAAATTACCAATAGAGGAGACATTGGAAGACAGTCCTCAGGTATTTTATGGGCGTTTTGTTTGTTGCTAAATGGTTAACTGCACACAGCCGCTCTTTGTGCCCTGCACCCCGTAGACTTTAGCTTATTAGCTAACATAACGTGTCACACCTACCCTTTATTCCGTTTGCTTTGACCAGACACTTATCTGCAGGTTAAATGCAGGTTAACTGGTCGGTAACTGGCATAAGTGGCCGGGCTAGACCCTTCGTTCCAGTGTTATTCTCGGGCAAGGCACAACCGTATCAGCGCGCCCACAGAATGCTGCCTTTCTTGTCAAATCACCTCTGTGTTTACTTTCTGCAAGCCACACAGGTCTTATTCTTCTTTGCTACAAAGTGTATATTTACGACTATTGTTATGTAGTGAGAAATCACTCCGTGGCGTTATTGTCCAAAACGCTGTGCTTAACTGGTTGTCAGCTCGATCCGAGATGCGAAGCAGTTTCCTCGGTCTGTTTCGTGCTTTTCCGTTTGTTTTATGCAATCGTGCTCATCTGCATTATTTCTAACTTTCGGCAGGGATATCTCTGTACTGACAATGACGACTGTATGTACTCTGCGTGGAGATATGAGGTGTGGTATTTGTACCGTGTAAACACCATTACAGTACCCTGCGTTTTGTAGAAAGGTCGCATCAATGATTTGGAGATTTGTAAATATAATATGCAGTTCGTATCCCTGTCTTTCTTCTGCAGCATCTAACGGAGTTCATAGAACACTTTGCATTGCAGACCAGGCTTATCAGTTCCAAATTTGTCCATTATGGCTTTGATTAACTGTGCTTTGGCTTTACGTCAGAATTCCCTTCAGCAGAAATGGTAGGCTGTTACTGCTGCTTTTTATATTTAAATAAATGCTTTTTATGCCAGAGATTTAATGCAGTGTTGAACAAATCCAAGAAGAATGCTTGTCAGGTATGTTCAGTTGTCTAGGAGAAATGATTCCCCGATTTTATCAATTGCATTTTTGATTCGCGTTTTAATTAGTTGTTTCTGTTCTTGGGTCCTTGAAATTTAGTAAGCTGTGCCACAGGCAGGAGAAGCCGATTTTCTGCTGCTTTGTGTGTCTACTTAAAATTTTCCGTAGTATTACATTTGTGGGTTATTTTGAATTAAAGGGTAGTCTGTGTTCCCCCTTCCGAATAGTGACAATTAGCAACCTTGTGTAAAATAGTTACCTGAAGTTTATGCATAAGTGCCCCTGTCCTTTTGGGGTTTTTATGTGGGTTACAGGACTGAAGAAACTGCATCAGACCACAGGACACTCCATACTTTGAATACCGTGACATATCCAAAGTAGTCTTTTTTAGTAATAATTAGATAGCAGATTCAGGCTGACCAATGTCAACAACATTCAAATGCAGATGCCAGTGTTGTATTAAAGTAGGTATATGTCTCTTTTCATGGTTGTAATACAACTCTCCCATTAACTTTGCAGTCCAGCTGGATGTCAGCCAAGGCACAAGACAGGCAGATATGCAGACAGAATCTTTTTGTAAACTTCTGCTAAGAATTCTTGCAATGTTGCAGATTAGTAATTAAATTACTTGTGTTTTTTTCCAATTTAAATTTGAGGTCTAGGTTTTTTTTTGGTAAATCTTTTTACATATTTGGCATCTAAAGCTGTAAATGCGGGAGATTCTGTTAGATCACTTTATTAGCTAATGAAAAGAAGTACCACAGTGACAGTTCTATTTGAGGGACGGTCCACATCACTTCTGTGCAAAGTTAAATTTAGGCCATTGCTAAAGAGCTGAGCACTCTGACAACTGGCTCTAATCTGGAGGAAGTGATTGAGATGGGGAACAATGAGGTGGAGACTTTGTGGTCTCCACCATGGTGATGCAAAGTCTACAAAGTGCAACTTCCAAGTTTACTTTGGTATTTGCTGGCTGGTGGAGGACCTTAGGGTACAACAGAAGATCACGGATTGGGATGTGAACCTGTGATCTTGGGCACCATGCTGCTCCATGCGTATCTCCCTGATTTTTTTTTCCGCTTTCATGGATGTATCGGTCCTCTCCTCTCCAGACTCGCTCATTGCTGGGTGTCTTTGAGGAGGATGCGGCGGCCATATCCAGCTACACACACCAGCTCTTCCAGGCCATGCAGAGGATCTATGATGCACAGGTGAGTGAGAGGCCCCTTTTAGTTCCTTGTTAGCTTATCACTAAAGTCCAGTAAGTGAAACTGATAACTGACTTTTTTATTTAAAGGTTGGATGCTGTCAATATCTGTATTGGGAAGACCTTTTTGATCCATGATCAGAATGTCCTCAATAATGGTGTCATTCTCTGCTCTTCAGAATGAGCTCAGCGCAGCCACCCACCTAACATCCAAACTGCTGAGGGACTATGAGAAACAGGTAATAATTATGGTATTTGACAGTGTGACTCAGTGTTAATTGTCTTTTTAAATTGCTGTGAATTACTGTATTGTCATCAACGCTCGTTTTCTGTGTTTGCTGCTATTTGCCCAGATTAAGTTTCTATCTGTGTAAATTAAGTGTGTTGAGTGTGTGTCCTGTTTTTGCAGCGCTTTCCCCTGGGGGGCGATGATGAGGTCATGAGCTCGACGCTGCAACAGTTTGCGAAAGTCATCGATGAGGTGCGTGTGGCCTGTCCATTGTGGCCTGTCCATTGTGGCCTGTCCATTGTGGCCTGTCCATTGTGGCGTACCCCTCTCCTTCCCTTCTGCTCGATATCGGAAGCCCTGCTATCATGAGCTAAACCAGCCGGCTGTCTCCCTGATCCACAGCTCAGCTCCTGCCACGCGGTCTTGTCAACGCAACTGGCCGATGCCATGATGTTCCCCGTCACCCAGTTTAAGGAGAGGGACTTAAAGGGTAAGAAGGAGGGCTCCTTTACCCTCCCCCCCGGCGCACACCCCTGCCTGCACAGTACCATCGAATTTAGCCTGATATCTTCCTCTTACCCTCACAGAGATTCTCACCCTTAAGGAAGTCTTCCAGATCGCAAGTGATGGTGAGATTCTTTTGGCTTCCTGTACGAAACTCCAGTCCCATTAGCTACAGACACGTTTTTATCTTTTCCTCTGTGGATGTGTTACTAAGGTGCCTTGTTTCCACGTTTAGATCATGATGTGGCCATTAACAAATACAACAGGCTTTCTAAAAGAAAGGACAATGAGAAGGTACGTTCATTTCACTTTTTAAAAAATCCCTCATGACTCATTTTAATCTTATTCTTCAGACCGATTGTCATAGATTGTTGTTCACATATCAATACAAGTTCCTATAATATTTTCATGGAAGAGCCCTGCTTAACGGCACAGACACTGTTTCTTGGTGTGTATTGTTGACGTTTTGGTCGTGGAACTTTGCCCTGATTACTGAGCCATGTGATTCACGTTAATGGCTGTTATTGAGGCTGAGGATAAGCTGTAGCATAATAGTGGAGCTTTTAAAGCAACATCCATCTGCCTTTAGCCATAGGCTTTACAAGCAGGGTCTTGGATCAGTCCTTAAGTAGGTATTTTAGCAGCATTGCACCTTCTCGAAGGTGTGTCTTGCTTGTCTTATGTTCCATTTGTTTTGTATGCATCAGCTTTTGTTTAATGGGTTCAGGGCTTGTGTTTAGCTTTGTTTTTTTAAATGTCTGCTCGTGTGTGTCTGTGTGTTTGTGTGTGTGTGCGCGCGTGCGTGCCCACCCATGTGTAACCAGGTCATGTTCAGTCTGTCTCTGCGAAGCAAGGTTAGGGCGTGTGTGTGTGTGTGTGTGTGTGTGTGTGTGTGTGTGTGTGTGTGTCTGTGTGTGTGTGTGTACGGTTTTGTAATTATTACATTGTGGAGACTCGATTTTCACACAATATGATAAAAAAATCTGTAACTTTTTACATTGTGGGGACATCTGTTCGGTCCCCACAAGGATTACCTCAGTTTTATAAAACCCTGTGACTGCAATCAGAAAACTAAAAATGCCAAAAGTCTTCTGTTTTGTTTGGTTACTTTTGTTTGGTTAAGGTTAGCGCTGGGCAGGGGTTAAGATTATGCCCATAAAAATGAATGGAGAGTCTCCATAAAGATATGAATACATGGACTGTGTGCGTGTCTGTGTACGTATTTCTGCTGGGCAGTGCTCAGCGTGTCCTTGTGCTCACAGGTGCGCAATGAGGTCACAGAGGATGTGTACACATCCCGGAAGAAGCAGCACCAGACCATGATGCACTATTTCACAGCCCTGAACACCCTGCAGTACAAGAAGAAGATTGCTCTGCTGGAGCCTCTGCTGGGATACATGCAGGCGCAGGTGCGAGAACCCCCCCCACCCCCACACGCTCAGTTCAGGGCTGCCTCGTTAGCCTCGCTTTGGGCAGGCCTAGTCGAGATGGAACACTGTGCTCACGATGCATTGATTTGGTAAATTCCATATGAGGAGGAAGGCCAAAAATGTGCCAAAGGGTTCCAAAAACACAGCGAGGTCGGGGGAATGGGGTCCATTTGGGGAATGGTATGTGCACATAGCCTACATGACCAGGAAAGAATATCCAAGATGGCGCTCAGTAACACTTGTATCTCTATACTGTATTATAACATGCTGTATTATGATTTGAAATCCATGTCTGTACTTCTGTAGCAATTATCCTTCCTGTTCGTATCGAAACGATCACGCTGTTACTGGCTCTCCTCCCCGAGAGTGACACACACTCCGCTTTCCTGAGGCTTGCCGGCGAGTTTGTAGGAAATCACTTTCCATTGTTTGCGGGGCGTGGCTAGGACCTTGGCTGTTTTCCTGCTGTCGGGGCCCCGCAGAGCACAGCAAAAACGGCATCCCCCCCCCAACCCCCACAGATTAGCTTCTTCAAGCTGGGCTCAGAGAACCTGACCCAGCAGTGGGAGGACTTCCTGACCGACATCAGCACCAGCGTGCAGAAGTAAGAGCGCCCTTTTGCGTGTGTCATGCTTGTCATACCTGTTTCTGACCTTAGTGTTGAATTGTACAGAAGGAGAAATTCTGTGTAGTAATTTATAATTGGGAAGAAAGATCTAGGAAATGATCATAGACACATTATCATTTTGGTTTACTGTCTTGGACCATTGACTACATGTATCTTCAGTCTCCAAATCTACGTTATTGCTGAGTGTTTAGTTCCTGTAGTGACAAAGGGACACTTTAGTCATCAGGCCTTGCGTTTCCTCAGTGTCCGCAGAGAGATGGACAGTGAAGTCACCATCATGCAGCAGACCATCCAGGACCTGGAGCAGGTCAGCGACATCCTCTACCTACCTGACCCCGACCCCAGCAAGATCCCCATCAACCGGAACCTGACACGCAAAGCTGGCTACCTCAACACCCGCAAGTAAGTTTGCTTCTGCCAGTCGTGCTTTTGACTGGGAATACTAACTGGGAAGACTGGTTTATGGTGTGTTCTTAGCCAGTTGCTAATGGTTGTTCACTACGCTTACAATTAGTGGTACCAGGGCACTCGACGTGACTGATCTTTTGGCCTTATGAGGGCACGGGGCCGCCTGCTGTCCCTTACAGTCCCTGTAACCCAATTGCCTCGGGTTTCCGGCCCATCTGAGTCCCACACGTACGTGTGCTGTCACATGACCCGCCCCCTCCAGCAAGACGGGCCTGGTGTCATCTTCCTGGGACCGGCAGTACTTCTTCACCCAAGGGGGGAACCTGATGAGTCAGGCTCGGGGAGACGTCGCCGGGGGCCTCGTCATGGACATCGACAACTGCTCCGTGATGGCGGTGGACTGCGAGGACCGGCGCTTCTGCTTCCAGATCACGTCTTTCGACGGCAAGAAGTTAGTGAGGCATTTCATCCTCTAGCTATGGTCTGGCTGGTCTCTCACTTGGTTTTCTGATAAATTGCCATAGAGTTATTATAATGATTAGGAGTTCTGGGCCATAACTGAACTGAGGCAGCCAGTAACGGGGGGAAAACACTGTAGCTGGTCTCAGAATGCAGGTTGACATCAGTTCAGCCCTGAGACTCCCCATCTGGTCTTGGTTGGGATCTTGTTCCGTTTTCTGATAAAAGGGAACAGTAGTGATTAGGGCTGCAACAACTAATCGATTTAATCGATTAAAATCGATT